ATAATGCATGTGTAGCGATTTCACGCAAAATTCTAAACATGTGGATTATAGAAAGAAGATAAGAGCATTGTCGATGCTCTTAGTTTTGAAAAATTAAAATGAAAACACTTTAAAAAAAACATTGTTTAAATCTTGAAAAAACTTTAAAACATGATGATAGCTTAGATATTAATGGTTTAGATTTATTTCATAAACTAAAACTTTTAAGACATATTATACATTTAGAACGTGATACAATTATTAATATATTTAACTACATTAAAAATTTAGTTCTTTTCCAAATGCATATGTTGCCTATAGGATTATGTTAACTATTCATGTAACCGTTGCCTCCTCAGAAAGAAGTTTTTCTAAATTAAAACTATTAAAAAATTATTTAAGATCTACAATATCACAAAAAATATTAAATGGATTAGCAATTTTATCAATTGAAAAACAGTTAATAAAAGAAATTGATTATGAAAATTTCATTAAAGAATTTGCATCTAAAAAAGCTAGAAAAATTAACTTTACGTCATAAAATATATTCAGAAAAAATATATACATAAAAAAAATTTAACTCCGCCATTTGTAAACTTTTTAGTTTATTATTGCTGATCTCAAGCCTGGATAAAGGAGGAGGATTTATAACATTAAGTATAGTAAATATCAAAGGGCCCCAAATTGTTGGTTCGCTTAGAGCCCCCAAACTCGTTGAGCCAGCCCTGAGCATTGGGTATGGACCGGTGTTCTAACGTCATCTTACATGTCACATCAACCTTAACACCGCCATAACACCATGTAGGAAATGGTGTTCCAATGTTATAACTTGTTAAGAGGTAGAAAAAAGTAAAGAGAAAGAGAAAGAGAGAGGAGAGAGAGAGAGAGAGAGAGAGAGGAGGAAGAAAAAAATGATTTTGATTGGTTCTTATTCCCGTTTCAATAAGTGGTGATGGGCACGAGAAATGCCATGACGAGAAGAAACGAGAAGGGTGGGGGGGGGGGGGGGGTATAATCCTAATCTATATCTGCTATACTTATAGTTATTACTAATCAAATAATTAATAAACATGTCAAAGAGAAAATACGAATCAGGTGCTTCAAAAAGGAAACGAAAAATGCAAGAAGAAGCTTTTATAGATAAACAAAAAGGTTCGTTTTTAAAATATTTAACTACAAACAAAAATGTTGATAATGAACAAGAACAAATTAATGTTGATAATGAACCAGAACAAGCTAATTGTAACACCGTTAAATTTCAAACAATTTTTCAATTAATTTTAATAAAAACATTTCATTTCCAATTCATCCCAAAATCATATATCCAATAATTTTCATCAAAAACACAATACAATCCATAATCCAAGATCTCAAAACATGTCATTTGCAAGTGTGTACGGATCATGTCGGCGTCTTCCCGTGATCATCACTGGTACCTGAAACACATAACACATAAACGGTAAGCATAAAAAGCTTAGTGAGTTCCGCAAAATACCACATACAACACATACGCCTTTCTAGGCCATAACTCCATAGGATCTTCCGATCCAAGTGTCTTAGGGGATTTCCATCCCATAACTCTGTTGACGTTCCGGTCCATATCATACTCATATCATAACATATCACATATTTAACATGCATCACATAAACATCATACACATAAGACCTTCCGGTCACACCTAGTTACCCCATCGGGTATGGCATAGTGAGAAGACTCACCTTGCTGATGTCGGATAATCACTCGAGCTCGATTCCCTGACGTATTGTCCTCCTCAAATGCGATGATCTTAGCTTCAAATCCACAGAATAGCAACCTCCTTTGCTTCCTCTTGGTTAGGACCTCCTTCTTCTTGCTAAACAACACCACAAAGGTCAAGAATGGCCTCCTTTCTCTCTCAAAACGCTCAAGCACTCTAGGGTTTCTCTCTATGGACTGGTAGCCGCAAATGAAGGCCATAAGGGCCTTTAAATAGGTTCCAAACCCGATAAATTAGGGTTTCTTTCGTCAGCTCTGACTCGGTGAGTCGCTCCCCTGACTCGTCGAGTCCCCTCATTAACCACGTCATCCAGTCGCGACCAGACTCAACGAGTTTGAGCACCAACTCGTCGAGTCACCCTGCATAAATAAAGAATTCTTGAACTGATCAAGAAGGACTCTAATGGATTCTTGAGAAACATAAGGAGGAAACTTCCTAACTCGGAGTACTTCTAGGTAACCTACTTTCCTTCACTTATGTCGCAGAAAACCTAAACCAAAACCTTGCATACTTGAACCGTAGATTCCTCTTACTTATTATGTTGAATCCATCAAAACGGAACAGACCGATGATGCTCCAACAAAATACTCATTTCTCCTGTGACACTCCAAAAATCATAAAAACATAAAGTTTTCAAAACAACCATTAACCGTCATTGTTTAGAAAAAAAAACCATTTTTTTCAAAAGTAAAATCATATCGGAGTATTCCAAAAATCAATATCATGAAGATAGAAAAATGTTCACTATCAAGGCTTCGCTTTCCCACAACCCTCTAAGGTATCTTAAACAATAAACTAAAACTCTAAACCAAAGACTAATGAGTTCCCACAAAGTACCATCACACAACATAACATACTTTTTTCTTGTCCCAGATCCATGTTTTGTGTGATATAGTTTTTTAAGTCGACCATTTTGTATGTTTCATTTGGTTGTGCTGTTAAACTAAAGACTGGACAAATCATATCGGATTCATTGACTTCAAGTTTTACCATTCAATTTATTCATAAAATGCAATTTGTTGATTCCTTGCAAAGTTCTGGTTTTATGCTCTTTTGTTGAAAATAAGTTAGTTTATTGTAATTTACAGTTTGGTAAAGCCCTAAAAAGAGATTATTAACTAGCTTATAAGCTACTTTCCAAAATAATACGATTCATAAAACTATGATTCAAAATGTCTATGAATCTTGCAAGTTCTTTACAGAGAGGTGGATCGATCACTATTACCAACTTTAGAGAACATAAACCAATCATCACTACTAATTTAGTAAACAAGTAACAACTAACAAGACACCATTTTAAACATAAGCATCAAAAAGTTACATTAAAAAGATGATTTTTTTTTAAAAAAAAAAAAACTATTTTTATAAATTTAGCTGTAACAAAGTCAACTACTTCCAAGCTTTTCCATAGCTGTCGCGCAATGTAACCGTCCGGTTAAAAATGAGCTTTTCCGGTGTTGAATCCTTATCAGCCACAAAATAACCTGATAATTTTCAACAAATTAACATTTATTCAATTTAAAAAAAAAAAAAAAAGTTTTATAATTTTTTATATAATTTACCAAGTCTTTCGAACTGAAATTTGTCGTCTACTTCTGCATGTTTGAGAGATGGTACAGCATATGCGCATGGTATCACCACTTTGGAATCCGGGTTTAAATCATCAAGCCACTTGTCAAGTTCTCCAGGATTCTGTATTTATTTAGTATATATATTAAAAAAAAGGATTAAATGAAATTAATTGGTTGGAAAACTTTATCATAAGAATAATAGCAAATGACGAACCTCAGAAAGAAAGAGTTTGTCAAAAAGTCTGACTTCCACTTTTAATGGATCAACTCCAGGAGAAGGCTCTGCAACCCAATGAAGAACACCCTGTGCATATAAATATAAATATAAATAAAATAAAAAGTGTATGAATACAAATATCATATATAGAAAAAAAAAATTATATAAAAAAATTAAAAAGCTTGCTGGGTTGCCTTTGGTTTTGTCTTTTTGTCTGGATCATATTCAACGTGTACTTCAACAACAGTCTGTTTGTCTTCAGAAAGTATTACTTCCATACACTTGATGGGGTATGCATATCTGAATGAAAAGATATTGTTGGATTAGAATTTGGTATATGGTAATTGAAGAGGGAATGGAAAGCAGAATGAAAATTTGTGTTTTTCACGTAGGAATGGAATGGAGCCATCCATATAAATAATTTCATGTTGTTTTGTTTCTAACAAAGAACATGTTTGAATGGCTCATTCCATTCCCTCAAGCCAACCAAACATGACAATCCATATTCCATTCCATCTGTTTGTGATTCCATTCCATTCCATTATTATAGCAAGCAACAGACCTGAGTAGAACAGTCTTTCCAGGAGCAAGCCCATAATAGTCTTTTGAATCCTTCATTCGAAAGTCAGATTGCTCGATATAAACAACTTTCGAAAAGGGTACCTGTCAAGAAAAATAATAATAATAATATAATGCACTCATACAAAAAATTTTAAAATAGAATTATTAATAAAATAAAATGCCAACCTTGTAGTAAGAAGATGGATTATCCCCTGGTGCATCTGGCCATTTCTTTGCATCAAGTTCTGTTACTAAACTCCCCTCAAGATTCGTAATAACAACCTAAAAACATTAAAATTTATTCCTATTGTAACTAAAGAGTTTGTGGGGAATAATATCAACATAAATCACATTTTTGGTCCCCAAAAGTTTTCTCTAGCACTTTTAGTCCTCCTTTGAGGTTTTTATAATGGTTGTGGTCCTTGTTTCAAGTAAAATGACTACTTTTTTAACCAAAACTACTGGACCAAAAAGAGTCGATTTACTTGAAACAAGATCCAAAAACATTACAGATAAGGACCTAAACTGCAAGATAACTTTTATTGAGTGGCCAAAAATGTAAATTACTCTGATATTAGAGTAAATTACATTTTAGTCACTCAATAAAAGTCCGATTTTTACAATTTTGGTAACCCTAAAGTTTTTCTTTTGCAACTTGGGTCCTTAATAACAAGTAAAATGACTATATTTTCGGATCATTATTGGAAAATCAGTTGTATTCTATTCAGAGACCAAAAATGTCACAAGAAGCCAAATCGTAAGATAAAAGTTTTGGAGGGAGGAAAAGTGTAATTTAGTGTAGATATGAAGAGTACCTTTAGTGGATGCAGGACGACCATTGTACGCGAAGCTGTTTTATTTAACTCTTCACGTACATGATACTCGAGGCGTTCCAAACGTATCATACTACCATCACTAATAAAGCACCATAAATAAGTACAATATGCTTATCTATTATTATAATAAAATAAAAATATAAAAAAAAAAAGAAGTTAGAAATGACTACCTTCTTGTAATCCCAATTCCTCTAACAAAACCATTTATTGCAGTTGAAGTCACACCTCTTCGCCTCAATCCAGCTAGTGTCATTAACCGAGGGTCGTCCCATCCATCAACATAATTTTCAGTCACAAGCCGATTCAACTATAAAAAAACACATGTCATGTCATTATATTCACTTTTATTTATTAAAAAAAAAACTTTTTTTGACTTACCTTGCGTTTTGACATTACTGTGTTGGTTATATTCAAACGTGAATATTCCCATACGTAAGGCTGGTAAAGGCTTAGGGCGTCTAGTAACCAGTAGTATGAAGCACGACGTGTCTCAAATTCAAGTGTGCAAAGCTACAACAAAAAAAAATATCAAATATTTTTTTATTTAATTTACCCAGGTAAAATAAATATAACTGAAAGACCTGATGAAACATAAATTTTACATTTGGTTGTATAAAAACGTAGTAATTGAACCAAAAACTAAAAATGACATCATTTAATTTGCAATTGATTTTTTCAATTTTTATATGTATCTTAAACTTCTAACTTTACTCACTTTTGTCTTTCTCCATTTGCAGCTTGATAACTTCTTATGAAGAATACTTCTATTATCTAAACTTTTATTTTCTATATTCTCACAAAATAAATCATTCTTTCTTTCAACCCTGAAAGCATGGTAAGTTCAGATTATTTTTTTTTTACTTCTATTTGTACCTAAATCTTATCATCTCTACTTTTTTCCCCATTTGCAACTTGGTTTTCATGACAAGTTCTTAAAGGAAAATACTTTTTTTTTTAATTTAAACTTAATAGTTATACTTGTATGCTTAACTATTAGTATCCTTCCAGTATATTGCCGCTTTCTTTTTTAATTTTATCAGTATGTTTATATAAAAACACAAATACAAACCCAAAAACCTAAAGAAAAACATACTGAATGTGTGATATTTTCAAGAGAATCCACAATGCAATGTGCATAATCATAACTTGGGTAAATACACCACTTGTCTCCCGCATGTGGATGAGGTGTAAACTGAAAAAAAAAAAAACGAAAATCAATTAATGCAAAAGAATATAGAAATATATATACCTTTTTTGATACTTACCTTGATTCGATACGCAATGAGGTCATACATATTAAAATTGTCACTCTGCATATCTTGTTTCATTCTAAGTGTAGCTTTTCCTTCTTCAATCAACCCACATTTCATATCATTAAAGAGTTTAAGTGATTCTGAAATGGGCCTATCCCTCCATGGACTATTCATCTTTTTTTCTCTGTACTCTTTTATTTCATCACCACTCTATTAATAATATAAAATATGAGTATGAATAGAATCAGTTCAAGTTTCTGTATACTAAAACAAATAGAATAAAATATTTAATTCAATAATAAACCTGGTGATCCACATAGGCATGTCCCCTGCGGATGAGCTCCACTGCTAAATCATACAGTTCTTGAAAATAATCACTCGTGTATGTGATCTGAAATTTTTGAATTGCAGCAAAAATAGCGACATACTTTACTCCTTTTATCAATATATGCAATATACTTTAGTGGTAACATATATATATATATATATATATATATATATATATATATATATATATATATAATCACATTGCTATTATGTACAAATAAAGTATATTGTCCATATTGGTAGCAAAAATTTACCTTGAAAGGTTTCCACCCCATCCATCCTACAATTTCTTCAATATGATCGATGTATTCTTTTTTCTCAGCTTCAGGATTTGTATCATCATACCTCAAGTAGCAGCCACCCTCTCTCTCTTTTGCAAGACCAAAGTCAACAAACATAGCCTGCAGCACATGCACATCATACTCTGTAACTTAAAACTTAAAACTTAAAAGCAAAGCAGGATCTATATATGTTTACTTTAATCTCTAATGACTTTTGTAGAAATAGAAACGTACCTTTGCATGACCTATATGTAGGTACCCATTTGGTTCTGGTGGAAAACGGGTAAGAACTTTTCCTCCTGTTGTCTTTAAATGTTTTTCTAATAATGCTTTGGAATTGCATGCTCTGAGCACAGGTCTATCACTGAAAAATACTTCTGTATGCACCTGTCAGTTGTCACACACACAATCACAAACATATTGAAACATGCCAAAAAGATAATACAAATAAGCCATGAGTCAGACAATCATAAAGGTAACCTTATAATTCTCCTCGGGTGAAGGGAATATTAAATAAGGATTGAGTTCTTCTTCAGATGGTGTCTGTTGAGGAGTTTCTTCAGGGGTACTTTTGACCTGTAAAAACTTATATATGAGAAAGACTGAAAGACAAAAGCATTATGCTTTTTTAGCTGTATCAGTATATAATAATATGCAGTCACCTCTACTTTAACAGACTTCTCTTTCTTCTTTTTTACAGGCTTCTCATTATCTGCTGCAGTCTTTTCACCAAGTAAAGCATATAGCTTTGAATCTATAAGGTTCTGGGGAAAGATACTAATCAATTTATAATAAATAAATGAATAAACGATAGAAATGTTAACTTATTCTATCACTTGATAAAACAAGACAAGAAAAGTGAGTTATTTAACTTATTTACCTTAACAATCTTTGGATCTGCCCAAGGCTGCTTCTTTCTGACATGAGCAAACAGATCACCGACTGAAACCAATCAACAAATGACACATCAGACTCAAATTCAACAGTTAGAAATTAAGGAAATACAAGAAAACTGAAACTCACCATTTGTTCGATACCGTTGCTCCAATATTGCACTCTTTTTCTCTTCAAAGATTTCATCAACTGTTTTTTCTATATCTTCAAGAGAGACCTCAACCCCTGTTTGCAAAGAAGGGCTTCTGTTATATTACTCCACAACAATAAAGGATCTCAGCATTATGCATTGTTAAATTTTTACAACATAGAATGAAATGGATGAACTAAAACATAACATACCAACTCCACAAGCTTCCTCAAATTTACTAATTTCAAGATCCTCTGAACCAGTGACTGTAAGAAATGCAAATGCAGCTTCTACCTGGGCAGGAGTCTTTATCTGCAATACCAACAGTATAGTCATTTTAATGATGGGTATATATTTTACTAATTGTTTTACCATAAGAATTAATCATATGAAAAGAAATCAAGAACCCAAAACCTTGGAAGAAACAATGTATTCCAGCAGCTTGGGACGATGCACAAGGGCATTGGCAGGAAATTTTGTAGCAACCTGTTATGCACAAGCAATCATTGTTATGGTACTCAAAATTTCATATTACTTTTTCTAACATAAAATATAAATATGGAGGCTTGTAGAAGTTAAATTTTAAACTACAAGTTAGCATATCAACATGTGCATATTCAAGATGGAAGACAAACAACATGTCAAAGAAAGAGTTTTACTGTATAAAGAAGATTGCCAGTAGACCGTTCGCATCCATCAGTAACAGCTGCCTACATACAGATACATCATTGAATATGAAACAAATTTATCAGAAATATGAAGCTGAGATCATTTCAAACAGAAAGTAAGAGAAGCTGCTTTAAAAGTGTAACTACTCTCTAAGCACCTGAGAAAGAGATACAATTTGACTCTCACAATTGCCAAGTTCTATTTATATGTTTATAGTTTTCAATCCAAGAATGGATTGTTTGGCTAAATCATATTGTCTTCTTCATGTGATAACAGTGAATATGTGCATTTCTGAGCCTACCCAAGCCGAAATTTGCTAGCAGTGGTTTGAAATGAAGATCGATGAAACAATGTTAAACTTATATGAACTTTAGCAGCTTATGTGCAGAAATGTTCAAAATCAGCTCAAGCCTAAATTGACAATGTTTTCTAGTCACTTTGTAACCTTTATCATGAGCCTAAACAAAAATCGAAATGTAGTCAAATCTTTGTAAAAACAATCTATGAGCGTAAAACAAGTCAAAAACCATGTTTTGTCCTCTTTTAGCTCAGTAGATATATATAATGGGATAAATTTTCACTACAAAAAATGCATATCACTGTCAAGTTGTTTGCAATTTGTTTCAATTGGGAACTCTGAAGACAGAAGCATGTTCTTTTAATAAGCTCATCTCTATAATCTCTCCAGAAAGACTTGATGTAACTGTTAATAGGAACAGCTCGATTATGACATACAGCCTCAATCACGGATTCCCAAAGGAAACAATCAAAACTCCTTGAATCTACTTCAGACTAATCCAACGCATACACCAAAATAAGTTGTTCGTGATGCAATTGCATGCAGCCTTATGAGTATCAGTATCAACCATACCTCGTTAATCACAGCGACAAGGTTCGTGGTGACTTTATTGTTGGCGATGGTGTTCTCTGCAGTGCGCTTATCTAACCCAATCTTCAAAAAAAGGTCAAGAGCTTCCACCATCTTTCTCCACCTCAATTGCTCCGAAATCTGTAGATTCTTTCTAGAGATTGCGTATTGAAATAAACCCCTGTAATAAACCCTGCCAAATGTAACGTTTTCGGTGATGAAATGATTTTGGGGGTTTTCACGTGACGAAACCCTAGAAGGGTATTTTCGGGATATGGAAATTTTTGCTTGATTCTCACGGCTTAGGAATTAAAAAGATAATTACATAAATCCACCTTGTAGTTTATAAAAAGTCTATGTTTTAATGTGCATGATATTTCTGTTTTATCCGTTTACAAAATTCATTACTCCAAACAACAAACTAAACATCAGGTCTCACAAATTATTTCGAAGCTTTGGTACATACAACAAAACTAAACAACAGGTCTCACAAATTATTTCGAAGCTTTGGTACATACAACAAAATAAACAACAGAATAGGTTCAAATCAGCATAACATGTGGCTTTCGAATTAACTTTGCAAGAAAAAAACTCCATGTACAGATTCGAACAGTATGTAGCATTGTAAGGCTCAAATCAACAGAAGAGGTGGATTTCGAACAACATTTGCAAGGAAAAAAGCTTAATGTTACCTGATTCGGAGTCCGTCGTCGCTACCCTGCTGCTTCGGAGTGGAGGATCGAAGTCCGGTAGTGTGTCGTTGCTTGCTACCGCTGGTGAGTAGCGGTCGAGTTCACGAGATTGCCGACAAGGTTAAGAAAAAGGGTCGTCGGCTGTAAGTCTCACTCTGTATGCGACGATGACAATGAAGAACGAAAGTCGTCGCTGGGGTCTACCGTTGTTCGCCGCCTTGCGCGGGTGAGTAGATGCTGCCGACAGCCGTCCGCCGGTGAGTGGAAGTCGTCAAGCCGATGGGATCGTCAGCGATGGAAGCGACGGTGCGTGTAAAGGGGAATTGGATACGATGATTCTCTGATAGATAGAATCATACATTTTTAGGTTAGGTTAAAGTCACTTAGGGCAAAAAATGTAATTATATATATATATATATATATATATATATATATATATATATATATATATATATATATAAAAGTGGATTCAATTGAGAAAATAAAAAAGGTTGAGAATGGGGAATCATTATCAGCCATTCATTTAATCTAAGCATAAAAAGACACGGATTCTCTCCCCTGATGTTTTCAATGTTGTCTCTTCCATCTGTACCTTTACCACGAAGATGTCGACGCTGGTGTTGATGCCATCGTCACAGTCATTGTAACAATCAAGTTGATGATACTTCATCACTTGTGAGTTCTCTTTTGTAATTCTATCATGATGTTGTTTCTTTTATTCTAGTTGTGCGCTTCTTTGCTTTCACCTCCTCCATATGCTCCTCATCCTCTGGATCCTCCTCTGGGTCCTCCTCGATCCAACCTTCGTTCCCCTTATTGGGAAAGTAAGGGTCTCCGGGAAGGCGAAAGCCTTCCATGTCGACTGTGTAATGATAGAGGTATAAGAGGTACATAATGAATCTAGATGTATGGTTCTATAGTATCCTATAGTATTTTTAAACTTTATGTTTGGTTCTAGGATTTATTTGTTTAGGGTGTTGGTAAGTTTTAGATTTGTTGTTCACCATGACTAATCCCAAATGTATGTTAGTCATATCTTGCATAAATATAGTTGATCACACTATATTTATCCAATATATGATTACGTAACAATCTAGGTTAATCGTAGTGTTCAACTTATCTTTTTACTTTTGTGTTGTTCTTGTTATGACGTCGATCTAGTATGTATGTATGTACTTATACTTTACAAAAATATCATTATATTTTAAAAGTACAATTTTTAGTCAGAGTGTTTTACCCTCATTGTATTTGTAGTTTATATCCTACATGGTTTGATATACTTAGTTCACTGTAAACAATACTCTGATATCAATCTGTCACACCCCAAACCAGGATGGCAGAAATGTCTGGGTGGATGACTTCACGAATCGTATCACAACAATATGTATAATAGTGTTCAAATAAAAACACATCCATCATAAAAATAATTGAAATAGTTACATAGTTGTAAGAGTTGTAGGGGTGTGCAAAAAAAACCGCAAGAATGAAAAACCGAACCGAACCGGCCAATCCGAAACCGAAAAAACCGGATATCAACGGGTCGGTTTTTGGTTTTCATATTTAGGTATCCACGGATAATTGAACCGAACCGTTTGATTGTGTGTGTGTGTATATATATACATAAAGTAATATATATATATATATATATATATATATATATATATATATATATATATATATATATATTTCATTAGTATTGTTTTGATTGATTTATGAGTCTAATAAGATAACAAAAATCAATACCGACATCTCCAATTTTGTAATTCTAAATTCATTTGATTTTCTTGTTATTTTTATTATTGTATTTATGATATAATTTATAATATATGATATTTGAACTTAATTACGTTTTTTAAACTTCATTATGTTTATTTAAACTCTTTGACTTACTAATTTTAAGAAAGAGATAACTAAAATGGAGTTTGTAGTTTCAATTGAATTTAATTTTTTATATTTTACCAAGTATCCGTGAACCGAACTGTGGTTATCCGCTTTCATACGGTTCGGTTCGGTTCGGTTCAGTTTTTTTGTCAATACGATTCGGTTTCGGTTAGTGCGCATGAGGTACCTGTCCCGTGGTCACGGTTCACAATTTTATTACTATCCGAACCGAACTGCCTCGTGAACACCCCTAAAAAGTTGTATGTTTCAAAACCAATTACAATATGATGATGAAAATATTTGTTTGACGCCTTAGCGTCCCATTCTCAAAAGCTTGTAGTTACCTGTTTTAATGATTTCTTGAAAATACAAGTAGTTTTGAAAGTATCAACATTTAAGTTGGTGAGTTCATAAGAATTTGTGTGAAGAATTGTAGGCCTTTCCTTGTAAAATGATAGTGTTCGTTTTCAGAAAATTCAATATTTTCCTTAAAAATGAGTTGTAGGTCTTAGAGACCCCAATACCGAAATGGATAAGTATTTTTATACTTAAAATAGTAATATGTAGTTTTAGTCTATATAAAACCATTTGAATGTATGTTCCCCGTAAACTAAATGTATCGTTGATTCCCCATGTGAGTTATTATAACCGTGCTAAAACATGGATGGTCTGTTACGACGTTCTTTAGGCGTCAGAATGTTATAAACATTTGTTACCCCAAACCTACCGGTCTAGCTGTAGCAAGCAACTTAGGTGCGGGATTGTCAGTCTCGTATAAATCTATACACAAGTATCACGCTATCTTATGAGATATTCTGGTTATAATACATGACTTTTATATGTACTCTGGTAGGTACAATGAAGACTGTCTCACAAAAATTGATTTAACGCGTTTACATTTTGATGTAATGAAAACTTTTGTATGTATAATTATCGTTTCCCATGATAATAAAATGGTATAAAATAATTATATAAATCTTTATATGATTATCCGCCTTGTTAAAAAATGTTACAATAGTGTTAATATCCCATAAACTATACATATTATAGTTTATTATAATATTTCATTTGTATGTGTATATATATACTAGTAGGGTACCCGCGCGATGCTTCGTGCGTCGGTTGGGGTACGGAGAATAATTTTTTCCAATGATTAATTTATTGCGGTCGATTAGTTTCATTTTCGGATGATGGTATGTATGATATTTATGTCCATGTATGTGTGTTTGCATGTGTGTGGGTGCCTAGGGGGTGTTCATCATTAAAATCATTTAGATTATTTGAAAAATCTACACATCATTGAAGTGTCCTTAAACTCACTTAAATACAAAGCTATGAAAGTAGGATGCTATAAAGGTTGCTTCTTCAAAAGTATAATGTTGTAACCAAAACATATGAAAGTAAGATGATATAATAAAAAAAGAAATGAATGCGTACTATTATTTCTCTCATTTGACAACAAGATGTAAATACTTGACACCAATAAAATTTATACCCTTTAAAAACTAAAACTACAAGAATTTACGAGCGTAAATAAATTCAACCAAGAAACAACCATATTTTGGTCCTACTTAACACTTTTCCCTGACAACATTACAAGTAGTAAAATATAAATACATAAATTTACTTCTTGGAGGATTGATAGCATGGAAAAGTCAATTACATGGGAGATATGTCACTCAGAAGACTAAACATTGCATATTTTGACTATAAAGATACTAAATTTCAAAAAAAAAAGACCATCACCCTATCGTGCACTGGTTCAATTTAGTCGTTCATCTCTACAGCTTGTATGTAGGTTTTAATGGCGTAATACACCTACTAAAAGCATGTGTATATTTAAACAATTAAAAACAATATTTATTTGAGATAAATACCAAAATTCATGACATAATAAAATTATGAAACTAAAATTCATTGTTTTAACAATTTTGGTTAATAAACTACTAATTAATATCATTTTGCATCGAATTCAAATATGCAAAAAAAATTATATTGCTAATCTTTCATATCTTCAATGCAAGAGAGATATATGATGTACATCTATTCTCAGTTTTATGAAATTAGGTTTGCACTATATTCTTGCTTAGTTTCCTTTTACTTAATAACACACATTAACACATACATAGATATTACATAATAATTTGTAATGACATTAAACTTGAAAACAGTTAAATTTAACATGAAATTTTATAGTAGAAAACAAATATATTAAGGCTGCAAGAATGTCAAAATGAAGGACAATGTGCATAGGTTGGATAAAGGCTATATAAGCCCTCTAAGAAACTAAGACCACCACCAATAAACCAAGTAAATAGAAGCATCAATCACCAAATTGATAATTGGAAGGTTCTCAAAGTTTGGTGATTACTGTTTTGGTATTCGGAATAGCATTCTATTCCACCATGGTTGGTGTAACTATCGTGAAAAGCATGTATTTCAACTGGGGGGTCACCATTCTTCAATTATAGGTAATGGTGACGACCTCCAACTTGTTTTGGACCAAATTTTAGGTATATATTATGCATATTCAAGAACGGGATGCTTGATTCCAACTCCGATTTCAATTATAATTCCAGTTTCATATTTCACTAATAGGACTAGGCATCCAATCAAAGAGGGCATTCTTGTTCGGAAGCATTGAAATGCTAATCAAGTTGGTACCAGGGAACTCGGCTGGAATAGTAACAACATATTAAGTTCAATAACCAACATAAAATAGAGGATTAATAATAGAAAAAAAAAACAACACATTTTCATCTATTTTTTTTGTATTATATC